ACCGAGACTCTAGCCGTCGGTGCTAAGGGGACCCCGGCGACTCCAGGGCGAGCGCTGACCGAGTGGACCGCGGGGAGGGGTCGCTAGTGACCTGCGGGGGGCGGGGGGCAGAGAGAGGAACCTCGGCCTCCGCAGGGAGGGGTGCGGTCAGGAGCTCGGACCCCGAACCCCAATGCGCTCCCACAGCGGCTCTCCCGTCGAGCCAGCTTACAGATATGGAGGCAGAAGCTGCGCGGAGCAGACACCCCGGCAGAGAGGGTCCGGGCTCCGCCGCTTGTCCCGGCCACGGCCTTCCTCCCCCTGCGGAATCCACGGCCGCATCGCAGGGGCGGCTCGTCCACTCGCGGGCGGCTCCCTCTGCTCCCGGGACAGGGGGCTGCGTCTGCCCGTGACCTTTCTCTCTGAACCCACAATGTCCCTCTTGGCATTGGGTCTGGACAGTCGCCCTTGAACACGATCCACGCGCCCCACGCCCCCTCCAGGGCCCGGCATCCTAGGCCCCCCTCTCCTTAACTATGGGGTTGGGTTTCCCGAGGAGCCCGCCTCTTCCTGTTACATCCCCAGGACCCGTGTCTGCTGGTAGCAAGACCTCCCCTGGCCCCAGGTCTGCAGCCCCCGCTGCCCTGCTGCCTTCTTCCCGCCCCACACACTCCCTGCCAAGCCTTCACTGCCCCTCACCTGGACGCCCCTCACCTGCGCGCCCCTCACCTGGGCGCTCACGCTGTCATTCCACAGGTGCTTCCTGCTGCCTCCCTGGTGCCAGGCGCTGGAGGGGAGCCCAGTGGACAGTCCCTGTGGTCACAGAGCCCGTGTTCTCCCTGCAGGCGGCGCAGAGAATCCTGCTAGAGCCCACCTCTCACCTGCTTGAAAAAACAGCAGAACCCTCTGCACCCCGCACCCCTGCACCCCTGCCCATTGCTGGCTCCTTCACTACAGAATCCCTGGGCGGCGCATTCCTCACCTCCACTTCACCTCCCACTTTCTCCAGCCGCTCCCCACTCCCAGGACGGCCCCCACCCCCCAGGACGCCTGTGTTTTCAATAAATGGTCGCCCTGGCCCTGGTTCAGTTGGTCAGAGCACCCTCCCCCACTCACCAAGGTTGTGGGTTCCATCTCCAGTCAGGGCACATACAAGAAGCAACCAATGGATGCATATGTAAGTGGAATAACAAGTCGACATCTCTCCTTTCCTCTCTCTAAAATCAATTTTTTTTAAATTAAATATGATGGTCCGTCCTTAGACTTCTTCTTAGTTGACCTTTGCCGGGTCCCTTAGAA